TTATATATATATATATATATATATATATAACAACCACAAAGCTATGCAGAAAGTATTGGTAGTATATTTTCAGGGTCTTTTTACAAAGTTATATATTCTAACGGAAAGTACAGAATTTTGTAAAAAGATCCTGAAAATGCCCTCTTTCCAGAGTTTACAGGGTTTTTTTTTTACACAGTTTCCTCTAGTATATGAGGTCAAATAGGGTAGGCTGTGCACCAATATCTTGTGTAGCTTTGTGCGAAATTATGAAACAAGCGAGCAATATGGCACAAGAAAATCTATGGCCCCTCCTTACATATCGGTATCTGCAGGGCATCGAATCTTACCTTGAACAATCCATTGTTACCTTCTTCCACTTCAACAATGTAGTACTCCACAAAACTAGGTGATTGAGGTTGCCAAGCAATAGTGATGGTGTTGTTCTCAGTCGAGCTTTCTTCTGGGATGATAACTGGAGGACCTGGGGCTGTTCAAGAAATGAATTAATAAATACAACTAGAGTTTCTGAAGCCACTATATGAATAAATGGATAGATATAGTCGAAGTATGATTGAGGATTATTTGAAAAAAAAAGATATACATAGATTCTTGAACTACTGATTGTGTATAATAACACAAAACTAGGGCAGTTGGTTACTAAAGTAACATACACAACTAAAGGTCTTGTACCAGTTGGCTGAATACACCAACATTCACAACCAATGACTGTTAAAAACATACCCTGACAGACAGAAATACAGGTCCAGGTCCAATGGATATATGTACACATACACATTACTAAAGACTCTGAAGTTTTGTATGCATGTACTCTCATAAAGAACTATAGATCCTGAGCCAATGGATACACACACTCACACAACTAAAGACTCTGGATACATGTACTCTCATAAAGAACTATAGATCCTGAGCCAATGGATACACACACAACTAAAGACTCTGGATACATGTACTCTCATAAAGAACTATAGATCCTGAGCCAGTGGATACACACACAACTAAAGACTCTGGATACATGTACTCTCATAAAGAACTATAGATCCTGAGCCAATGGATACACACACAACTAAAGACTTTGGATACATATACTCACATAGAGAACTATAAATCCTGAGCTAATGGATACACACACAACTAAAGACTTTGGATACATATACTCACATAGAGAACTATAGATCCTGAGCTAATGGATACCTACATCAACCTCAAATCAGTACAGACTGTACAACTAGGTGGTGTGATATGTCCTTGCACTAGGTTTTGTTAGTTTAGAACAGGAGCTTTGGCATCAGCTATAAATTAAGATGTCATGTATTTTAAAAGGAGGGAAATAAATCAAATCGAATTCAATAGATAGTGATCAGAAAACTGTCAATAAAGTTTAAAATCTGACTTAAGAAATTCTGTTTCTGCCTGACTTTAATCTCAAATGGCTTGTTTTTACACCTTGTGGTATTCTTGTTATCAAACATATCCTTTAAAAATCTCAAATATCAAAATGTGGACGTATCTCTAGAATGTTGATATAACCTTTACACATCTACTACAGTGACTACTTCAGACAAGTATCTTAGGAAAGTCACACCTGCCAATTCAAACAATTTTTGTGTGTTTTCATTTGTATAATGAACCTTAGTGACCAGAAAAGCAACTATTACTGGGTTGCTTGTTCAATATTCTTAGTTGTATACAGGGATATCATTCCCTGTTAACTGGTTTCTGAGTGGTGGGACTGAAACGAATACTGTGTTTTATAAAATAAAAAATTAAGCCATTGTTAAGGTAATGTATTAAGCCTTTATTAGTGAACTTGTAACAAACCAAAGTTCTAGCTTGTATAGTTAGTTTCAAGAAGCTGACATAGATATATGTATCAACATAATGAATTGTCTGTTGTTTGTTTGCATGTGTGTGTGTGTGTGTGTGTGTGTGTAGAAGATAGCATCTGGCTCTCCTTTTTTCTGCCTTTATCATTTTCTAATACAGTCAGCTAATTTCCTAATTTTGGCAGTTTTGACATATTAGTAACCTATCCGAAAATCAAATCCTTGTAATTCTACAGTTATTGGGGAGTAGTTTACCCTTGTTTAGATCTAGACACAAGAATACCACAATCATACATCTCACCTGCTTATCAAATCCTTAAAGCTCTCTTTACTGGAAACTTCATTCCCTAACAAATAACTCCACATATTAACACATACAACTAAACATCCCGAGCAACTCTACACGCAAACTAATTTATCTAACAAAAATAATGCTGAGCCCACTGTATAAAGTTATAAATACAAGTGTCAGTAAACCTAAATAGACACCAGCTTTAACCAATATGAAATACCAGACATAATGAGGCAAAAAAAAAAACTTAAGGGAATATCTTTTTTACAGACCTGTTTGGAAAATAAAATTTTACTACAATTTACTGCATGTAATAATTTTGATAAGGGCTTTTGCGAAAAATTGTCAGTCACAGTAAACCTCAAGAAGATCAGCTTATCGAGCTTTGAATTTCAGAGTTTTTTTTTTTTTATAAAAGGGTACTTCAGTGTTTTTGCAACATATTATACAACAGGAAATGTAAACTTATTTCATGTCTGTTTATTTTCACCCACTATAATTCAACATGACCTTCCTTGCTTAGGCTTATAGGAAAAGTGATGTTCAAGGAAATAGGCTTTACAATTAGATAAACAGTGTGTATATAACTTATTAATTAATTTAAGAAACATTGGTGAAGGTATCTCGGCTATGAAGTTATAGTTCAACAAAATTTTATTCTGTGATACAATTACCTCAGCTTTAAGTTAAAGCACGAGAAGAAAATGGTTTCTTTTTTTTTACTTTTTATCCAACCAGGGAAAAGAAAAGCTTTCGAAATCTTACGTTTCATTTGAGCAAATGTCATATAGTGAATAACAGGAAGAACGGACTGATAATCCAGGGAGAAGTTGAAGTCTGATGTGACCCATGGTTTCAAGATCATTTCCTGGTTCCATCGGATATCCACATCAGCTACTCTACTGACCAATGCCGCTCCAACCTAAAACCCCAAAAAAAGTTAAAATATGGAAGTATTAACATACAAGTTATTTACTGAACACTGCTTAGGAAGACTCCATGCCAGTTTCATATGCAAGAGTTATAGCTTGTTTAAAAGTTAGGTTAAAAGTAATAAAATTGAAGAATGTAGCTTTCGTTTTAATGACAGATCTTGGTATACTTTCACTGTGAATGGGAGGTTGGAGCCTGACCAGGTTAACAATGGCATCTTCAGTAATCAGATTCTAAGTTGCAATACCAAAATGTATTAGTTTACATTCAATAACAAAATCAATATACGACCAGCTAGGACATATAGTCGTATCCACTACATTGCATTTCTTAGCTTGTTATAATTCATGACGAACTGGGAAGTACAGATGTATCTGTTACAACACATTTCTCAACTGGGAAGTACAGATGTATCTGTTACAACACATTTCTCAACTGGGAAGTACAGATGTATCCATTACCACTCATTTCTCAGCTGAGAAGTGTAGATGTGTCTGTTACTATGCATTTCTCAGCTGGGAAGTACAGTTATATTTGTTACCACACAAGTCTCAGCTGTTTATGGTCCACAGCCAGCTGGGAAGTACAGCTGTATCCATTATCATGCAATTCTCAACTTGTTGTGGTCCACAGCCAGCTGAGAGATAGTTTTATCTGTTACCACATAATTCTCAGGTAGTCATGGTCTATGATCAGCTGGGAAGTACATCTGTATCTATTACAACAAATGTCTCAGCTGGTAATTGTATGGTATTCGCAACTGAATGTAAAATAATATGAAAACATGATATGATCAAGAAATAATTTGGGCCAGAAAGTTGTGGAATGGTATTTCCCCTTCCTTTCTGTATCAACCTTAATGTAGTAATGGTACGTTTATGGATTTGTAATATATTATTCCAGGGTTTGATTCACCACAGTGAATACAGCAGATAGCCCAATGTGGCTTTGCTCTAAAGCAAAAACTGAAACACTGGTGTAGTTGGTAAACAGCTAATACAAACTTGCTCATGAACAAAAGTTTCTGTTTTCTCCTAAATAATCCCAATTTAATCATTGCTGTTACAATAAATGAGTAAGAAACTTTACTGATCAAAATTTAATTGTTATAAAAATCATATTAGAAACAAAGTTCATCTACAAAATAATCACACAATTGGAGGCATTAAATTTGTGAAGAAATTAGTAAACGTGTCAGAAATAATTCTTGAGAAAAGGAATTTCTTGTAGTTCAGAAACCATCGTTTATAAGTTATAACACAAAATAAAAAATTGCTAGTATAAATGGTGTGAAGTCAGTTTTATTATAGAAAGGTTGTGAAATAACCTGCTTATTTGTTTCTAACTTCAAAGCTACACAATGTTATATCTGTGCTGTTCCTGTTTAACATTGTAAGCCACTAAAAGGCAAAATAAGCCTTTATCTACACAGGCTATTAAAAAAAGGGGAATACCATGAGTCAGAAACGAAAATTAAATGAAAAATTCAAGGATTAAAACAAGATTAACTTGCATAAGAAACAAATGGGTTGGCTAGTTTTCTAAGTTTTAACGTGTGAAGTATGACGTCATAAACTTGTTTTATCTGTAGAAAAACTCCTGAAGTCAATGAGAACTAAATTTTTAACAGTACAGAAATGTAAGGGTTGAGCACGTTTTACCTGGAGAAATGCTGTGGGGTCAGTTTCCTTTAAAGCTTCGATACAGAATTGAAGAAGTCCTGTTGTCTGTTGGAGTTTGGAAGTACAGGAAGTTATCTGGTCCCGGAGTGTCTTGATCTTGTGGTCTCGTTCCTGCCTGGCGAACTCCAGTAGCTGCTGTTTCCTGGCGAAGATAGCCTCAATCAATAGGTCACACTGGGCACTGATAGTGGCTTCAAACTGTACACAGTTGTCCTGGAAAAATAAATGACATGTTAATTAAGACACACGGTAGTGTGCCTTGCGGTAAAAAAAAAACAAACAAACCTGCTGAACACTGTGTGTTATTAACAGGACCAATAGTTTAGCGATTTTCCACCTTCTGTTGCTCGGACTGTGGTAATCCAAACTATCACGTATTTTCAGTGGATGTACTCTACTGGACTTTTACTTCACATACCAAATTTTAAGGCAATTTATTAAGACATACCTGATATATTACATCTCCAATTTTCATTAAGTTTCTTCCTATTTTTACTTCTTCGTACCAAAAGTACGGAACTTTATTTGATAGAAAAACATATTTAACTTTTATAGATTTGTATCAAATTTGGTACATTGACAGATCTTTATAACCTACAATTAGAAGTCTCATTTGGTGTAAATATAAGTCACATGTGTAAAGTTATTCAACAAAAAACCGCTCAAATGTAACGAAATGTTTGCACACGTATACGTAAAAAGAAAGGTGAGCTATCGGTCTAACATTTTTACTACAGCTTCACCTACGAGGAAAAGTGGACCGTTTTTAGTTTTTGTCATTCGGATTAAAGACAACTGATTTACAGCAGCAAAACTAAGGTGAAAGGACGTGTAGACACATAAAAAAATCATATGGGTGAACGGTTATTATTCATTGCCAACTTTTCAACATAATTTTACTAAATATTATGAAATTCTCCTAATTAAACAGCGTTTAGCGTCAAATAATATTAGCTTAAGCAATTAGCATAAATAATGATGCTTGAAACTGCTGTACCGATTGCATGGGAGTGATGACAAAAAGCTGTTAATTAAATTCCATGATGATACTACAGAGGATTTGTTTTAAATTTCGCGCAAAGATACACGAGGGCTATCTGCGCTAGCCGTCCCTAATTTAGCAGTGTAAGACTAGAGGGAAGGCAGCTAGTCATCACCACCCACCGCCAACTCTTGGGCTACTCTTTTTTACCAACGAATAGTTGGATTGACCGTCACATTACAACGCCCCCACGGCTGAAAGGGCGAGCATGTTTGGTGTGACGGGGATTCGAACCCGCGACCCTCATATTGCGAGTCGAGCGCCCTAACCACCTGACTGTGCATATATTTTAAAGAATCTGGTTGGTTTTGTAATGTAAAGGTCTTTTCCGATCCTAAAGCTAATGTTGGTTACTAGCGAGTGTCACTTTCTTATTTGGTGTGGTTTGTTGGTGTGTATTGACATAAAATCATGGTATCTAGTCAAAAACATCTTAAATGGGGAAAAAAGGATTCAGCGTGTGACTTAAAGAAATGATGTCAAAATTGGCGGCCAAATTGGTACACTTATAGCATTGATAAGAATTTTACAGCAAATATTCATTCATTAGTTAACTAGGCTGCGTATTTTGTTTTACCCACCATCATGCCCAAAGTTGAACAAAAAATGCAGCCTGGCTAACTAATGAATGAATATTTGCTGTAAAATCCTTATCAATGGTCTAAGTGTAGCTACGAGTTTGGCCGCCAATTCGGATTTCACTGTTTTAAGTCACACGCTGAATCCTTTTTTGACCGAACCTTTTTTCATACCTAAGGTGTTTTTGATTAGATAATTTTAGCCTGGGGATAATTTATTAGTAGAACTTTAGCAAATATTATTACTGAAAACAAAATATAATGAACATGCTCTTTCGACTATTAATTAGTTCTATAACTCATGAAAGTGAGGCCCAAGTTACAATAATGTCCACCAGATGTCGCATTATTTCTCGATTCCGAAAAATTAGTGAATTATTTATATACAAATACTTTAATGCCTATAAATTTGTAAATTTTTTCCCAGCTGTTCAGGTATAGATTATTCTACATTTACCTTTTATATTTCTTTATTTTTGATAAATCTAGAACGAAAAAGGAATCATATTTTTGCTACATCAGAGAAGAAACTCAATAATGTGAGCGCTTTCAGAAAATGGGCTTTCCCTATACAGGGGTAAGTAGCGAAAAATGCATCTTCAGTAAAATAACATGTTTTTAGTGACAAATTATTTGAATTGCCAGCTTTAAAATATTATAAACAACATCGATACTTCAACATCAGCTTGTTACTTATTTATACTATAACGCACAGACTCCCCTATAACTCTTTTAATTGTTCAAGCATAATGTTTTACACCCACATTGTAGAAAATATAATAAATAGTAGTTTGGTGTTGTAACCATGTACACCGTGAGAGGGCGCGTCACTCCAATAACAACAGGAACCGGAAGAAGAGGCTAGATTAGATTTGTAATTAATGTGAAGCTGATTGTTTGTTGTTAAGCGCAAAACCACACAGTGGGCTATCTGTGCTGTGCCATCCACGGTTATCGTAACTTTGTAGAGAGCCCCTGATAGTTGTACTATACGGGGCTTATCAAATATGCGAGATCATTCTCATAGCCAAAATAATTTATCTAAATCATAGTAAATATAATAGCTAAAACTGTTTTATGAAACAACATTTTCAGCTTAAACAAAACAAAATATTGGAATGTTTACTTGCCCTCCAATTGAAACAAAAAGTTATATTCCCGCTGAATTTGTGATTTGAGAAAGAAAAGTGCGAGTAAAGTTATTTAATTCCAAACTACTGACCAAAGGGAAGATAACCAGACTGCTACCAACTATTCATGCTAAGGGATTGACTGCTGCTCTTATAACGCACCCACAACTTAAAGTGCAGGAAATATTTCATGGTATCGCATGGATTCAAACTCAGCTCCCCAAGTCCTAAATCCTTAGCTCCAATACAAGGAGATTTGTTCATTCTTAATTTTTTAGAAGGAATGACTGAGATTAGTGTTATTCTAAAAGGATTTGTCAAAAGAATTTCATAAAGGTAAATATACCAATTATCATGAATAAAACACAAGTCAAATCAATGTGTGTAACTTTAATACTTGTTTTACTGGCTTTTCCGCAACATGTGTTGTTTGTTTGATCTTTTTGATAATTGCAATTTTATATACAGAACTTCTTTAAAGTTCTACCTTGAGGAAAATATACAAATATAAAATATTCAAACGAGATTGTTGAACCTGACGAAAAATAAATCTGTTAGATGTTAAGTGTTTCTAGCACCTCCTAACGGGTATTTATAATAGATAACATTACAGAGTTTGATACAAAGTAAATTAAAAACGTATTTCAAAATAACTGGAGTAGCCGTCCGCAGGACGGAAGTTATGTAAATTCATGATTAATGAAAGGTTATCTTAGGACATGAAAAGTTGCTTCCCTTATATGTAAT